ACAGAAATTAAGACCAAAACATAACCTCATCCACTTCTCCTGCTTGACATACGCTATCATATGTAGAGGCACGTATTATGCTTTACAGCTAACAAGGAAAAATTTTGTTAATAACAAAGAGAGCACCAGTTCCTAAAGAGTTACTTGACAGGAGACATTGAAGCGTTCTGAACTTCTCCAGCATAATTTTCGCACTAAAGGCTCAGGGTAGCTACAGACTTGAGCTGGCTTCCCTTATGCTGCCAGTGATGATGCATCTGTCCCTGGGTGTTTGGAAACCAGCTGCTGATTTGCATGCACTGGCCCCTTTGCTGTTTGCCCAACCATGCTAAGTAGTTTTTGGCGTGGGAGTGTGAACAATTCTGTCTGCCCTACAGAAAGCAGGGATAAATGAGAGGTCTGTCTTTAGCCCCTTCTCACACCATCATCCTGCCTGCCAGGGGGAGGATGGAGAGCATAGCTGAAGTGGAACAAAAAGTTAGACAAAACTTGTTATGAATGCTGTTTTCCATGTGCGTGCTGTCCTGTGCCTGTGTCCTCATCTCGAAACTAAAGAAGAACAGCAGCTCTCGCTGGTACTGTGCATCACATTTTACATTGGATTTGTGTCCTCAGATTGTTCCAAAATGAGTCAAGGTGAAAACAGCCTGTGGTACATTATACTTCACATTTTAGGTGTATCTGTTGCATTCACTGAACATAGCAACTCATACTGTAAAATGCATACTCTGTCTTCCAAACCAAAGAAGGGGTTGCTGAGTGCAAGTGCTTTGCAAGATTTAAGGTTGGCTACATCTGTTCAAAAAACAAAGTTGTAACCCCACCAGAAGTCTGTGGTCAGGTGAAAATGCTGCTGGCTGTGTAGTTCCAAGTGCAAAGGTTATACTGCCTGAGCAGAGCACTCTGTTTTCCCATCTCAAAGCCTGACCATGCTTCAGAGAGCTGAGGGGCTCTCTGTCAGAAGTAAACTCTTGAGAGACCGTCAGCCTAAACTGTCCAACAGACCAGTACATTCCTGTGTCTGTTAGTGCTTAACAGGTTTACTGGCTACTTCAAAGTGTAAATTACCCCATCAGTCCCTCTCCATTGCACTTTGCTTTGCTGCTTGAGAATAGAAAGGAGCAGAGAGTGGATTTCTTCTGCACTCGGGATGGTTACCAGCTTGTGCCCTGCAGTGTGAGAATTGATTGTCCTCATAATTTATAAGGTCACCAGAGTAGCAGGTGTTAGAACCAGGGCTTCAGGTGAGGAGTATGCTGCAGAAGTAGATAATCCATTAAGACACCAGTGCATCAGCCTGCAGTGTTAGAAAGGTGAGCATGGATTTTGCTTCCTGTTTAATGCATATAAAGCTGTCAGTTTATAAACATGTCAGTAAATTAACTGTATTTACTCTGCTGGAGGTGGTGTTTGGAAACTGACAGAAGACAGAGAACATGCTGGATCTCATAGAGCCAGATTTTGATGGTTTGCATGGCTTTGTCTAACCTGCTTTCAGCTATTGAGTTCAAGAAGTTTTTGTTGTTGTTTATTTTTGTCCTACACAGATAGAGACCATGATGGGGACAGCTTGCCAGATTTCAACCAGAGGTGCAAAGGCAGAGATGGGAGCACAGCCAGGTCTGACTCTTAGATCAGAATTCACCCTGGGAAGTCTATGGCCACCAAGAGAGCAGGCTGGGAGAAAGGCAGCATCCCCCATGTCTGATCTGCACCTAGTGAAAGCAGCAAAAACTTCATGCTGATTTCAACAGCTGGTTCAACAGGCAAAATTCTGCCCTCATTTTGCAATACAGCTCTTGTTTTCCTCACTTCATTCTCCTTGGTAAATATCTTTGTTAGTTAAAGACAGTGCTGTTAGCTTCTGTAGAGAATAAAACCAGAGAGATAAAAAGAGCCCATTTTCCTCCACTGTGGGCATGACAATAAAAGAAGATGGAGAGAGGAAAATAAGAAACAGCATCCAAAGAAGAAAAGTAGTATAAGTGGGATTAGGTTTTCTTCCACAGACAGTACAGGGGAGCATTTTCATTACCTACTGATAGCAGTGTACACTGTGCTGTAAAATCCCTTCAGCTGCAAAGCCAACCATCTCATGACCTTGTTTTCACAAAACCAGCTACTTCTTAAGAAGGGTCAAAGAAGGTGGCATTCAAGTTTAGTAGACGCTGTACTGCTCATAAAAGAATTGTTTTTTGAATGACAGTTTCTGAAGCACTTTTTAGCAACACTGCTGTGCACCCCTAGAAAAGCCTCCTGTGACTGAACTGGTTCAGCCTCACAAAACAAATGGGCATGTGGTGGGGGCACGTTTTTTTGAGAAACTAACTTCCCAGGAAAGCAGCAGGGCAGGAAGGGAGGGAAGTGAGAGAATAAGCAATCCATCTAGGGAAAAGCAGTTTACTTATTTTATGGCACCTTATGTTTTCCAAACACAATGTAAGTATTTTAATTATGGGATCACCCCAGGGGTGGAGTGATGTGGCACATCCACCCACTCAGTTTAGCCACAGCCAAACTGAATTAGACTGGCTGCTTGCTGATTCTCAGTAATTTCAAGCCAAGTGGTCCTAGGTCATATTACTTTGGGGCTTTTCTCACAAGTTTCAGAGGTGCTACTGAAACCCAGCAGAGACCTCATTTGCAGTGTGAAGTGTTGGGTCTGTTTCAGAGCTGCCAGCACAGCTCATGGGGCTTGTCTCAGTCTGTGTAACTTATTTGGCTGTTCTGGGTCTAGCACTCATCAATCTAAAGCTTTCTTTGGACACAGTACTTTTGTACTAATTGAACAGAAGGCAAAATGTACTGTCACCTGCAGGTGGGAAGTGTTGATCTGTGTTTGTACAGGGAGTGATTTATTTATTACATTGTTATCTGTAAGGGAGCACACACCTCATGTTGAAGTTATGGTACAACTCTGTCCTTGTCAGCCTGATTTTCACAGTGATGTTCTCTTTGTTTAATGCCTCATCAGGTGAAGTACACATCAGAAGGCCAGTTAGATTTCTGCACGACAGTTCTCCTTTGGGCAATTTATTGCTTGGCATGGCAAAGAGGGAGGCAAAAGAAATCACTTACAAGCATTTCAAGCACTCCTCAGATGGTCTTGTAAAATCCTTTCATATGTTGTGGTCTGCCTGCATCATGTTTCACCTTTCTCTTTTAGCTACAGCAACAGCCTGGGGTCTGGAGTGTATTTTCTGCAGGAATAGCCCTTTATTCAGCAGAAGATGAACCTCACTCTGGCATTTTAGGTGGCAGTTTCCATGGCTCTGAGAAAATCTACATCTCACCCCAGTCTCTTCAAAAATAAAGATCCTACAGAAAACTCTGACCTCAATGAGCAGACCCTAATTCTTAGGGGGAAGAGAATTTGCTTCATAAATAATTAAAGGCTACTACTTGTTTCTGCGGTACAATAGTATGCTACAGTTGAAAGCTAATGGAAATTCTTGCTACCAGGCCATGCAGGCATCCCTTCCTTAGGTCAGCTCTGACCCTTTCTCAGGCACAATCTCAATTCCTCTTCTGACAGAGATTCAGTTCTGTATGCAGCTGTGGCTCTGGGACTTTCCAAAGCCGTTGTCTGGGAATCTGGCAAAGCAGCAGAATGCAATTCACTTCATGTTACCTCTTGCTAAAACAGAAATAAAAGGGTTGCCTATCTGTTAAAGAAGTAAAAACCAAACCAAAACAAGAGTGGTACAACTCTCTCAGGCTTCTTTTAGTGCTTGGTAAGAGGAGGGTAATCAGATCTCAGAGAATGGTGTGCCAGGAAGGAAATTTCTTCCCATGTGCAGCGTACAATCAGCCAGGTGCAATATAAGGAAGGGAGGTTCATCTTCCTCTGAAGCATAAGATATTGGCTCCTGCCAGAGGCTGTGTACCAGAGATCTGATCAGATATGGCAAATTTTATGTTCCTATGCACAGTGGGTAAGCTTTGTAGCAAGTCAAACAATGAGTCATCTCACGAGGGGGAAAGGAAAATAAAGCTTTTATCGCCCATTGGGTTGGAGATAATCTCTCTACTTGGGTATAAACAGCTCTTCACTGTGCTGCCTTCTCTCCAGGGGAAGGAAGCTATTTTAAATTTGTGTGTAGAACAGATACTAAATTGTCATACCTCCCAAGCTTCTCTGCCTGGGCCCAGTAAAGATAGCAGGCAAAATGTCTTTGATGGTAATGTGGTTGGGCCTCTGTGAGTAAACACAATAGCCTAGGCTGTATAAACTGTCCCCAAACTAAATATCCCTACTATTTTATTAAAAAATGGTATACCCTCTTACCTAATGGACCTAGTTACATTGGTAATTTTTGATTGCTATACAGGAAGCACAGGCTAAAGCAGTGCCAAAGGTGGCACAATCTTGGCCCTGGCTTTCCTCTCCAGTGTGGGAATGGCACCTGCTCACGTAATGGCACCTGGAGGAGGGGTGGGCCTGTGTGAGTACACTTCTCTCAACAATACATGTGCTGATAATCACAGTTACAGGGCCCGTATTTAAGCTGCCCTTCCTTACAGACCCCACCAGAGAAGCCATGGCTGTCTTGCATTTGACAACTTTTCATTGTTCTTGATCCATGAATGTACAAGGGCTGTGAAGAGAGAGCACACCTCTCTTCTGTGAAAGGATACACACCAAGGATGGATGGCACTAAGGACTTTTCCTGCTGCTTGCTCTTCACATCTGAAGGAGCATGTGAAGGAAAATCCTTTTGCACAGTGGAAAGCTGGAATGAAATAATGTCCTGTGAGCTTTCTTCAGGCTACTGAGTCAGTTCTTGGTTCTCAACATGTCACAGATAAACCAAAATGCCAAAGTATTTCGCAGTCCAGTGCTTAAAGTAATCCTGTACCAACATGACGCTGCTCTCCTGCCCTCTCCCCTGAGACTTTTTAGGTTGTGCTGTGGGGAAAGGGGGGATTCAGTGATGTCTGCCTGTGTTCCTGTGCCTTGTCTCAGTTTGGTAACAGAGCTGTGGTCTCTTTCTGGCCAGGTTTGCAGCCGGTTTACTGGAGCAGGGAGGATGTGGCGCAGTGGCTCCGGTGGGCAGAGAAGGAGTTTTCCTTGAGGCCCATTGAGAGCAACACCTTCGAGATGAACGGCAAAGCCCTGCTGCTCCTGACCAAAGAGGACTTTCGATACAGGTCCCCTCATTCAGGTGAGGATTATTTACAGAAGCTGTGATTGCAAAGAGAGAGAAAGCTGCAACAAAAGCTGAAGAGGGTCAGAGGAGGAAATGGTCACCTCTGCTGAGGTGGACTGGGAAAGGGAGGGTAAAGGGAGGACAGAGACACTTGCATGAGGCAAGGACAAAAAGGACAAAGAGAGGAAGAAATCCTGATACACCTGAGTTGTAGGCATATTTGATTGCAAATTCAAACCCAAACATCCTACCTGTTTATAGTTAAAACTCCCTGCAGAGCTCCCAGAAAGCAAGCTGCTCTGGCAGCATTTTATGACTTCCAGCTCTTCCTTGTAAAGGCTTATCTGTTCACAGACCCAACTACAGCAGCAAGTCAATCAAGTGCTCCAGCCTCTTTAAGCAGCCCCTATTAGCATTTTGCCTCCCAGTTGTCTTGGCTGAGGTGCTGCTAAAAGTGACTGCAAAACTCCTTCCTTGGGGACTTTGCCTCTATTTAACAGCCCCTGTGGGTTTTGCTTTACCATATTCTCACATGTGCTGGAGTCCAGGCCTCAGCACAGCACACACAGGTGTGTGAATCAGTCTGCCTATTGCTCAAATTATGTCTTCATTTATTAACAAAGGAGATTTAGAAATGTGTGTGTTGCCTGCCTGTGTTTGTATCCCCTGTGGTCTGTCTGTTCCAGTTATACAGTCACAGTAAGCCTCTGCCCTCCTTTGTCAGGGATGTTTAAATATGAGTTGTGAGCTTTGTTTTTTGTGACCACACGAGGTACTCCTGTTAAATATAAAGGCTTGCACTTCAATCACTCTAGGTGATTAAAGAGCTTGGACCAAGTGGTGACAAAATTGCTGTGAGGAGGCTTCCAGTGCAAGGCTCACAGGGTGCAGGAGTACAGCTGGTGCTGCTGGGATCCAGCTGATAATCAAGCTGTGGGTCTGATTCTGCACCAACCTGCTTGGCCACTCTCCACAGCCATCCTCCTGCAGAATCTGCTTCACAAACTGTTGCTTATATTTAGTGTATGCACGGTTTTTTAAGCATGTGCTTCAAATCCAGGATTAATTTTCTATGGAAGAAGAGCACAAACATTTATGTCTGTTGTCACTGTAATGCATTTGCGAGAACTAATGCCTAGAAATGTCTCTTTTTTTTTTTTTTTTAATTCTGGTACACCACTTGGATTGTAAAAATTAACCCTGCTTGAAGCAAAAGGAGTATTGAAAGCAGGGATGTAGGCAAGGACTGCAAGGGACACATTTATGTATGTTGTCTGCAACTCCCCTGCAAGTTATGTTTCTATTCTTCCCCTTGTGTGCTGTGAGGGCACTTGAAATAAACAGGATTAAAAATGTTTCTAGGCTGGAAATAGAGTGTTCCCAGAGAATAACCTTTGACTTGCAAAATCTCACTTTACTCAGAAGGTTAAACTGAATTTGAAACGAAATAACCCAGCTAAAGGCCTCCTCCCTTGCATTTTGTTTCTTCCTTCCCTCCAGGTATTCCCCACTGATAATAAACCTTGTGGAGGTTATCTGAGTCAGTCCCTAAAGGCTGAGATAACTGTAGGTAAAGGGACATTAGCTCAGCATTTCCCAGAATTAAGTGTACATGAAATTTAAGAACTGTGAAATAATGTTTGCCACATAGGCATTAAGTTTTTCCAGACTGAGGCCACATGAAAGCTGTATCATTTCCCCTCATGGTTAAAGCAGGAGAAGGGCATCGCTCCCACAGTCTTGCCAAGAAAGGAGCTCACAGCCCCAACACTGTTCTGCCCAGGGAAGGGAGGGAGGGAGGGAGTACAAAATGTTTTTCACCTTCTTAACATTGCTGCATCTGGGTGATGCAGAAGTTGCAGCTATTTCATTAGGTAAAAAAACAACCCAAAAATGCAGACAGCTTTGTGGATGTTTTCACTGGTCTGTTCAGCCAATCAAAAAAGGTACAAATTTGCTGCCTTATTGCTCTGAGTGTTACAGCACTAGTTATTTATGATTATGCCACTGTTGCATTCAGTGATGGAAATTATGTGGTAGAATCAGTTTTTAGACTTTCATGTAACTGGGTGCTCAAGGCTTTGTTTTTAATTAGGCATTCAGATAATGCAATCACCTTTTAAAAATGCCCTAAAGTCACTGCTGAGACAGTAAAAGCAGCCTAGATATTAAAAATAAAGGAAACTGAACTATGGAAAGTAGTATGGCTTTAACTGTTTCACACTAAGAAACTCCAGTTGCCCACAGATTAGAATTTTGGCAATTTACAGAGACATGGGACAAATGATACAACCACTTAGAAACTACTCAAACTAAACTATTAAAAAAACCCCATGTTTGAGAATACTCTCCCAGAAAATCTAAGGTTTCCTAAGTGAAACTTCACGAACTTGGTTTTCAGATAATATGTAATTGTTGCAGCCTGTTCCTCTGTAATATGAGCAGTGACAAACAAAAGAGTTGGCAGAATGAAAAGCCAAGAGACTTCCTACCCTGTGATGCACGATTTCACTTTGAAATGCGCAACCAGTTACACCAGACCAAATGCAAAAGTACCTTGTGTGTTTGGTGTAGATGTTGGAATAAGGTCATCCATACAAGATGAAATTTATAAAAGACACAAAATAAGTAGTTAGTCCCCTGGTCTCCTGGATATTCTGGTGTTATGTTCCATTAAGGAAAGATACAACAATTATGGTGCCAGGGAATGTTGTTGTGTTTTGCCACAGTCACACTCAGAGGTGTGATGTTGCCTTTTTTCCTTTCAGAGGAGAACTTTGCATAGCAGTGAAATGCAGGATTTTACTGCTAGCATTTTTGGGTCTGAAAATAGCAGCCAGGAGCCATGAATTCATGCATCAGATGGCTAAATGAGTCTTCTCATCAGTTATTTACATTTTCATTTCCTTTTTCCTGCTGTTTGTCTTTCAGGTGATGTTTTGTATGAACTCCTTCAGCATATCCTGAAGCAAAGGAAAGCTCGTATGCTCTTCACACCCTTCTTCCACCCTGGGAACTCTATCCATGCTCAGCCAGAGGTCATATTGCACCAGAATCATGATGAAGGTAACTCTGTCTCATTCTTACAGGAGGTGCCATTACAGAGGCGAGTAGGAATTATGTCATTTTCTTGCTCCAGAGTTACTTAAATAAAGCTGCTCTCCTCTCTCTGTCTCCATAGCTTTGGAACAATCAAATGGTCTAGTGAGTCAACAAGCCCTTCTCCATTTATCTTCTATTATTTTGTTCTGTTTCCAAAGCACCTTTAAAAGCTATGTCAGATACAGATTAAAAAGCAGAGCATTTTATTGACCCTATTGATTCATTTTTCCTCACACCCAGTTAGGTAGACAAAGTTGCTTTGTGGACTTTTAGTATCCTGGAGATGCAGCTAAATGCAGTTGTTGGCAGAGCAAGGGAGGGCAGCCTCAGAGGGGAATATCCAGCTCCCAGTCACTTCAGCTGGCAGTCTGTCAGAACACCAGAGCTCCTGGCACTGAGCCCATCACATTGCTCAGCTGTTGGGCTGGTTGAGCAATTTCTGGTGTGAGAGAAGTGGGCTTCTGCAGGTTTTCTCTCATTTTTACTATCACAATTACTTGCTTAGGTCTAGTAGTGTGCTCACATACCATGACTATCAGAGGTGATGAAAAAATAATAGTTAAGTTGGTGGAATTGCATATTTGGGCTTCTTCTACTACAAAATGGAAGTGTGAGTCTTTTCACTGGAAAATTGAGGTTTTAATTTCTTCTAAAATACACATACTGGAAGTACTTCTTGGATTTCTTGGGTGTATCATAGAAAAATATAAAACTTAAGCTTTTTCAGAGGTCCTTTCCACAAAAGCATCAGGCAGAACTAATTTTTTTTTTCAATTAAAAATGAATTAAGTTTTCAATTTAAAAATCTAGGAAAAAGTAGTGTACTCCTTTTTTGAGTAAACAGGAGAAGAGAATATAAGTGAGTTAGGATGTCACCCTGGTCTCTGCTAACTGGAGAAGAGGTGTGCTTATTCTGTTTGATAAGAATCTATTTCAAGATTCAACATGGGATTGCAAGGGAAGATTCAGGGGTGCTGTCAGACCTGTACAAGTTGCCTGTGGCCAGTCTGCATAGCCAGAGTCAAGTGGCACCAGCAAAACCCTGAGACTAAGCCAACAGCAGGACAGCAGCAGGTGGAAGAAGGACACTCCAAAGTGTTTCCACACAGCTGTGTAAATATTGCAGGTTAGCTGAGGTTCAGTTGGCAGAGCTGTGCAAGAGACAGTTGCCCACTGTATTCAGACCATTAGTAAAATCTTTTCCTCAAGCTTGGCCTTCACCCATGAGTGTTCCCATTCTAAATTTCAAACAGAAATACTAGCTGCTCTCTCAGACACTCCTGCATTTAACATATGGAGCAACTTTGACTAGAGAGGATTTCACAGGGATGATCAGTTGGCCTTTCTTGCGTGTCATTTAAAAAATACATATTTTACAATCTAGTGATTAAGAAACAACTTAGATTTCTTCCTTACAATACTCTGGCTGCTGATAGCAGCACTGCTTTTCTTACAGAACTCTGTGCTATTACTTAAAACTTCTCTTTGTAATGACAAAAATTACTTCTTGGTTTGCTGTGAGAGGAACTTCAAAATAAGCAAAAGAAACTTCAGCTTGCCTGCCAGAAGACAGAGCAATCAAAAAATCTCTGTGCCAAAAATTTACAGGCAGGTGAATTTGTTTATTTTGACATTACTTCTTCCTCCTGTTTCACAAAGTCACTGGGGAGAAACTATCACAATTGAGTTTTCATTTGCCTCAGCAAAATACAACTTACTTAAAAAAGGAGAATGGATGCGAGGAGCAGAACTTAACCCAGGCTAACTCACAGACTGTGACACTGGGGACAGATTTTACCCTGGCCCCATTTTGAGTGGTTAAACATTACAGGTGATGTGTCTTTATTACAATCTCTCCTTACTCCAGTGATCTTTTCCATTTTGTGGCTCTTTTGCCTGTTTCCTAATGGATTATACTTATGATCCTGCTTTTAAATGCTTTCCCTCTAGTGGTTTCTTACTAGGCTTAAACAAAGGGGGTTTGGCTGTTAGAAATCAATTGACTGCAGTTCAGGATATTGGCTTGGAATGGGCTCTGTCCCTGCAGAGGGATGAGCAATGGAAAGTGAATTACCTTCATCTCCAGTGGTCCTTCTGACAGAGCTCTGAGTCACTGGATGGGATGCCATGCAGGAAGCCTACACTGCCATTCCCTGCACTTCTTCCATGGGTGAGCAGAGAATGCCAATCTTTGGGACTGTCATGCCAGCAATTGCTCACTCCCAGAGTAAGTGCAGCCCCACCCATCCCTGTATGGATAGGTCAGCAAATTTCCTGGGAGGTGGATTTCCTTTCACAGCTTTGTCTTCAAGAAAAGAGTGTTGCTCACTTGGAATGAAGATCCAGAGTGAATCTAGTGCTGCCTGAAATTATATACCATATGTGCTCAACTTACAATCACCAGATGTGCCAAGGAATGAATGTGATGAGGATTTTATTCTGTTCAGGGTCATTTGTAGCAATCCTGCTTAGAGCTGAGTTGGAATTGTTTTGTGGCAGACACTATCTTTGGCCATGAGGGGATTCTTTTGTTAAGTACTTCAGGAAAAAGATCTTGAAGGAAAGTGAACCATTAGTGTGTATCTATTTGTGGTGTTTCCTGTTCCTGCTTTTGCAAGTCTCTACTTTATGTCCTCTCTGTCCAGGTTCAGTATCACCATGGTTTGGAAGCAGACAGGTAGGAACATCTCTGTTTGGAGTTTGTCAGAGCCACCCAATGTTTTCAGAGAGCTTGGTGAAAAGCGCAGCAGGGCATTCCTTTCTACTTTAAAGTTAGTTGCTCCCTTCAGCCAAGACATTAAATAAATAGGAGAAACAGCACAATATTCTGGTCTGTATTTACAGGCCAAGAATGAGCACAGTGCATTTGAATGTACCGTGATGGGGGTGGATGGACTGTAGAAGATAGGACACTGAGTAAAATTTGGGAGTTGATATTCTTTCTGTTGTGGCAAAGAAAGGGGACTTTAAGGTAAAACAGCCACAGAGGGTAGGTACAGTTGTAAATTTTTCCTCTTTGATCTTCATTTGGGCTATCCCACATTTGCTGGCCAGATTGTATTTAAAACTGTTTGGGTTTAAGCAAGAACAATATATAGCTGTGGAGTTTCATGTCCTCCAGCTGTTCCATTGTCAGTATCTTGAATAGCCCTACAAATGCGTTTTTCTTGTCTGGGACCACAGGTGTGTTTAATAAGTATTCTAGAGCAATGTAGGTTCTGCCTAAAATTCCAGGTTTTCCTGTAGACTTTCGTGTTCTTGTACAGATGCTATGTCACTGCCTGGCACTACATTTTCTCAGGACTTGAGCTTTTCCTGTTCAGGCCTTTCCCTGGGTATGTGCTGATCCATCTCCTGATGCCTGCCTGGGTTCCAGAGCAGCAGGAGCCCTTTAGTCTTCACCTCAGCAGGGTTTTCAAATAGGCATCACTGCCTTGGCAAGAGAGCAAGAGAATCATTTTATATTCAGAGAAAAAGGAGTGCACAAACAGGCAGCCTCAAATAGGCAGCTGCTTGTTTCAGTTGTTGACACATACCCAGAAGTTTCCTTCTCTTATCACCCAAGGCTTTCAACAAACAGCACTGAAATTTGATCTTTGTTTTTTCTGATAAAAACCTGTTAGTCACTGTAGCTCTGATGGTACTTTCCTCTTTGTCAGTAGTTTCCCAAGTCAATATTGATGGCCTTAGCTAACCTGAAAGTTTGCGCTGGCAAAAATTTTAATTTTGTGAGAGGTGTTAGTGATTTGTCTCCCTACTGCTGTTAAGCATCACAGCTGGGAAAGTGTGTTCATGCTAGAAGTCCTCCTGCTGAAGACATGTAAGTGCTTATATGGGGCAATCCATCAGAAGACACTACAGACTAAATAAAAGAAGATGAAAATGTCCTTATGAAGATGTAACATGCTCTTAAAATTAAGGCAGGGATAAAATATCGGGTTTCATGAAGAGCTTCCTACCAGTAGGGTTTTTTAAACAACCCAGTTCATATTTCAGACTGAGTTATTCTCTACCTTGACCTAAGCCTGTACCATCTAAAATTTAATACCCAGTATTTTTCTGGAGACATTTTCCCTTTTTTTCTTTCCCTTCTACCTTAAAGTGCTCATCATGGTAGTAAGAGGAATGACACAGAGAGACATGAATGCAGGCGATAAACTTCAAAAAAATTGTGCAGAAACACATCACAGCTAAATCAGAGGTTACTTTTTTCACAGGTGTTCAGTCAGCTCCTCAAAATGGAATTTCTCTTAGTGTTTCCCAAGGAACTGTTTTTACATGGTGGTGGAGGGAGATTGTTTTCACTGTTTTCATTCTGTGTAGAAATTATAACTATCTGCATGTATGCAGAACTTTACTGGGCATCTGTAGGTCACACAAATAAAAAACATGTGCAAGCTGTCAGCAGTAGATCCTGTACCTCGATCACAATACAGACAATCTGTATTTGGGAACTTTTTTTTTTTTCTCCACAGATAGCTTTGTGCAGAGACCTTCGAGACCCTCTGCAGAAGCAGTCCACCACAACCCCCCAACCATTGAACTGTTGCATCGCTCGCGGTCACCCATCACCAACAACCACCGTCCATCGCCAGACCCCGACCAGCGGCCGCTGAAGTCCCCCATGGACAGCACCCTCCGTCACCTGTCCCCGGCCGACAGGATGCCAGGGACAAGGCACCAGCATGAGAACAGCCAGCAGGAGCCCTATCCTCTCTCAGTGTCCCCAATAGAAAACAACCACTGCCCGCCTCATTCCGAGATGCTCCAGAAGCCCTCCAGCCCTCGCCAGGAGAACACCAGGGTCATCCAGCTGATGCCCAGCCCTATCATGCATCCTTTGATACTGAACCCCAGGCACTCCGATTTCAAACCACCGAGGTTGTCTGACGATGGGCTGCACAGGGACATCAAGCCCATCAACCTGTCCCACCGAGAAGACTTAGCTTATATGAACCACATCATGGTGTCTGTCTCCCCTCCCGAGGACCACGCGATGCCAATCGGCAGGATAGCAGGTAAGGGACGTTCTGTAGGCTACACCAAAGCTGATGCTCTTCATTCATAACTAACCATGCTTCGTTTTAAGAGTTTCTTCTTTCCTTTTGCTACTCTGTGACATCAAGAGTTTACTGGCATTGTGCAAGTTTCACTACATCTGTGGCTTAGGCAGTGCAATATTAATAAATGAGTTTCATGACAGGTAAGCAGAGGTGCAGAATGACTTGCCTATGACCACAGAACGTGTAATTGCTATTGAAACATTTGCATCCTGCCACTCACTACCTCTCCACCCCCTAGCAATCCATTCATTTCCCAAGGTACCTATCTCTGAAGCCTTGTTCTGCAAAGAGAGAGTTTTCCAAGAGTTCCATTCACATTAGTGTCCAATCCTACGGAAATGAAGACACCCTCTGTCAGTGGCCTTTGAAATAATGCAGTGTCAAGCCCATTATGAAGCTGGCAGGACTAATGAAATAGCACCTCAGAGTCCTACTTCATAGCCTTTCCTGGCCTCTCACATCAGGATTGTCCCTTTTTACAGAAATGAGGTTGGCTTTATCCCACTCAAACCACAGGCATTGTCTCACTTTTGTTATCGTAAATAACTGACATCACAGCAGCTGAATCAGGAAGCTGAGGTTACAGAAAATGTTTCTTGTACTCCAAAGGGAACTGTAAATAGGGAGAGGGGGAAGAGGAATCCAACCACTTCAGAAATATGCTGAATGCCCCAGTAACCAATTTCTTTTGAGAGATGTAAATACACACCACACCCAGAAAGATTCCATGCAGTTGTGTCAGCAGTGACCTGATGTGATCCCCAGCTCCTGTGAGGTATTACACATGTCCACAGAGCTACAAACACCTTGTTCTTTTTTGTCCTTACATGCCTTAAATTTTTTACAGATGTGGTGCTGCCTCAGCTTTAATGAGGAAGATTTTCTGTTTTCTTAAGATTTGCCACTTTAAATTCCAAAGATACAAATCATACTGTCTAGTCAAGATCAAGCACAGCAAGGACCATGATCCTTTCAGTAACAGAAAGATGAGTTACAGAAATTAATCCTTTGACATTTTTGCGAGGCTGACATTTGTCTCTCTCCTTTTGATTTTTATTACCCACAAAATTCTCAGCAAGTTAATAAATATACTTAAAGTTAGGGCAGAGAAAATACCCTATTGGTCGCATCACTGGAGATTTCCTTCCCAGAAAGTGTTGTTGGGAGATCAAGGCAGTTAGTTTTTATTTTCCAGAAGAAAACATTCTTTTAAGAATAAACCCTAGTCTTAAATAAATGTAAGAAAAAATATGGAGAGTATGTGGTGGTGTATTCTTTTTTTTATTTTACTCTTAGGAATTTTCCTACATAGTTGGGAATCTTTGGTTTCTGCACGTTGTGCAGTGGGTCCAGTGACACCAGCCCCAGTAATTCCCATGTCCTTTCTATCCCTATGTTGTTTGCAGGGCAGCAGAGCCCAAGCCCTTGGAAATTTGGGCCTAACACAGTTGCTTGGCAAGTATGTGTAGCCATGAAAAATGTTATCCAAAGGCCAAACCTGCAGACTTAGGTGCTTTCACTGCAGGCACCATGTTTTGGCTGAGACAAACAAGGGTGGCATACCTGAAATAGCTGATGAATTATTTAATGCCAGAAAAACCTGGAGTGTGTTCAAGCATTTGGTTCAGATGAGGGCAGTGTTTTATGGCCCAGGGCTGGGGAATTACAGAGCTCATGGTTAGATTGATTAGATTTCTGCTGATAATTTGGCCAATGTATTTCCATCAGTGCCCAAGTCCTTTAATTGTAAAAGCTCACATGCCTCATTTGCTCTACAGGCGCTAGCTACTGCTTCTCTGGTTGGATTGTAATGGCCCCTGAACTGTAGAGACATCCTCTAAAGAGCTCACAGCTAATTTAAAGGTGATAAAAACTGGATTACTACCAAGCATTTAGACAGCCCATGCTTCATGCCTGAAGTCAACTTCACTGGAGCTGTTGAATTCAATGGCAGCATACTTAGGCCCCCTAGAAAGAAAGTAGCTTTCTACCTGATTCCCACCCATCTCTCAGCTCTTGCCAATAAGTGTTTTATTTTTTATGTCATCATAAATGTATTTTTCATCTCAGTGTCCTCACCTTTACTGCCATAGTTAGCATGGAGATGCTTGACCAACCATGCTTGCCACTTCAAGCATGGTTGGTTGAAGAGAGACCATGAAAGGTGTGAGACATGGCTCTTAAACTGCAAATGTACATCAATGCAGATATATTCTTTAAAGGGGCTTTTTAGAAATCACTGGCATTACTTCCATTTTCTTGATGAGGATGACTGATGGGTTGGGCAATGAAAAGATTTACCAATAGTCCAGTGCCAGAGCTAAGTACTCAACTGTTTTCCCTGGTGAGGTGAGCCGTGACTTCCTATGGCTTAACCACTTGCATGCAGGTGATTTTCAGGGGAGATAGTGATGAGGAGCTGCTAGGGAAGCCTGGTAGGCTGCTGACTAAAACCTTAGGTTGTGCTGCAGAACATCTTCTGTTCCCAGCTCAGATATTTTATATTGTAGAAAAATTTTCCCTGGACTTAAGACACCTAACAGCCTCATGAATCCGTTTACTTGTAGATTGAGTGTGTTTTTAAATGCAGCATGCAATTAGTTGGTGCTGAGAAAGAAAATATTTTTGCTTGCTGCTATGTTCTCTTTTCAGGAGGTCAATCAATAAAGCTCTGGACTTTCTGTCAGGCAAAATAATGACCTCTACTCACTGGCTGACTAATATGTCTTACCTTTTTATGTAATACCATTTTTTCAAAATATTAATTTTACTGGTAAAGCACTTTCCCTTTTACAGCAAAGGATTTCAAGTTGAAGGTCTTATTATCTTTTCATCTAAGGTCATTTAACACTTTTCTAGCAAAGTTGGAGGCATAAAGTATCTTTGTATTACTCATTAAGGTCACATATATTATTCATTATCGGCTAGAGTTGATTTTGAAAATTGTGGTTAGCTATCTTCTCAACACAATATGCACAAGTCTTTTGCATATCTTTGTCAGAACTGGAGGACATCATGTTGAGATGACCAAGAAGCAGGTTTTCATCCCCTGTAAATACACCAGGCAAAGGATAAACTAAGTAACTCAGGCATCAGTAGTCATCTAGTTAGCAACATGTGAAAATATGAAAAATACTAAATACTCCCCTTGAAAGGGGAGTTCAGCAGAGCAGCATAATATAGAGAGTTTTCCCTACTAGAACTGCTAATTCAAAGCAGCAACACTTTTGGTAGTCAAGTCCTAACTTGGGCTCTAGCAAGCAGGTATTCTATATATGGCTTACTTTTTTTCAGTAGTCAATCTTGGTTCCCCACAAACTATCTCCAAGGATCTCTCCCCCTTCCATATTTTTTTTTTTTTTTTTTTTTTTTTTTAACACAATTGCAGTTTAAATCAAGAGGGGCACCTCAAACTAGCCCTTCTGCAGACTGGAAATTCTACTTCCCATGAACCTCAGGCTGCAAAGGTTTTTTATCAAGGATTTTAGGGCTTTGATATCTTGTAAAAGGTACCTCCCCAAGGTGCAAGAGGCTGTTAATGGGACTATCCAACTATAACAGGGTTGGTTTCATCTTAACCTTTATCACATAGAGGTTGTCTTAGAAACATCCAGATTAAGCTAATGACATGGTGGTATTTACCTCACTTTTGATTCAGTCACTTAAAACTCACTCATACAATTCTGGATATTTCTTGTGAGGAGGAATACATTACTGAGCAGGTCCCTGAGATTTCCAGCTCCCAATGTCTTTTTCTGTACCAGCTCTAGGACTGAAAGACTTGTTCACTAATTCACAGCACGCTGAAACCTAAAGGCAGATGAGTCCTGTGCCTGGTGTTATCTATCGGCCTCTTATCAGCTGGGTTACCTTAGCAACTGGGCTGTATCTGACTTCATGAGCTGCTGGATTTGTTTCTTCCCCTTCAGGATTCTGAGGGAAAGCCAGGCAGTGTTTAAACTGTTGGGAGGCACATTGCCTACCACTGTATTGGTTAGACCCATAAAGCCATTGAGTGCTGTTGGAATGAGGATAGGCAGGATTCTTACCCTGCTGAAGTCATGACAGAGGGCTGCCTCCAGCCTTGCTCCTGGTTCACCTCAACCTCTCAGTGTGCCACACATCCTGAGAGTGCTGGGGTGTAGCAGGAGCCCCATGGATCTGTGGCAAGGTGGTAAGTGACATCTCAATAAAAACAGTCTGATGGCCGAAACCAGAAATGCAGTCCCATGGTCAGAGCACATCAGCTATGAATGACTCACGTTCTGCTGAAATCTCAGAACAGCACTTGGGATGGGCGTAGGCTCTGAGCATGGGGAGGTCTTCCAAAGGGGTTTGATTGTTTTGTGTGGGGATAGAGTTTGGAGGGGGAACAGAATCATAGATTCTCCTCTTTTGTTTGAAAAAATTACTTGTGTGGGAGGGGAAAAGACAGGAGTGGACACTGGAATGCCCCTTTCACAAATACAGTGCTTTTAAAAATTGCAAATCAGCTGGTGCTTTTTTCTGTTTATACTCTGGAGTTGGGCTGGAAAGCTTTTAAATTAGGATAAGAAAAAGCCGACTGAGCTGTCAGATTTGTAACAATAGACATTTAGAGTTTAAACATCAAAGGACACCAAACTTCAAACCACTGCACCTCAGCAGTGTCTCCTCACTACTTAGCTACTAGGACCAGAGCCCCAGTGCCCATGTCTGCTCCAGATGTGTCCATGGGACATTTACAATTGAGTCACGTTGTAGGATAATCTTCTGGGTTTTTTTTTACTCATACACCAGCAAAATCCTTTGTGCAAATGCACCACATTAGTTTATTATTTATAATGTGTTACAACACATTAGTTTCTTTTCCTTCTGTACAAAACAGCTGTACAGGCACAGTTTACTATCCAATGGCAGATGCTGGATGGTAGGCAGGGAGGGTGGGAAAGGAGGCAAAGAACAATTATGCCTCC